AGAGCCAAAATCTGTAGCCATGGCAACCATCCCATCCTCCCCCCCACCATTGCACTTGACGCCTTTCCTCGTACTGAACTGATGCATGAACATAGAAAAAAGGCTGCAAGCTCTTACCACACACACACACACACACACACACACACACACACACACACACACACACACACACACACACACACACACACACACACACACACACACACACACACACACACACACACACACACACACACACACACACACACACACAAAGGGAGCTGTCAGTTGAGTTTAGTCACCATGCGATGGCAGGGCTCGAGGCGTGAAACACAGAACTTTTGCAAACAACTCGAATCATTGCAACTCTTGGCACAGTTCGACGTTCTCCTACAGCACTTTACCGTGTGAGCAAACCCAATTTATTCTTTATCATCTCTGACGGACGGCCACTATTAGGTGCTCAAGTGGGCACTTTGATATCAGGAGCTGAGACCAGAGAAAAGAAAGGCAAAACACAAACACTTACACTCTGGTTTTACAAAGTGAAGGTCCTCAGAAGACAGCAGGAATGTGTTCTTACAGACAAGTCTCCGCCTTTAGAAATGTTCCAAAGAGCCATGCCTCAAAACACACTCTTTAAGTGGATGACCCTAAGAAATGTGAGGGCACTTTCTAACATAAAAGCATTTGTGGCTGCTCCTCAAGAGTTTCTACAGGTCTTACCAGAATAGAAGGAACAACTACTGTATATTATACTGCTGTCATCAGTAAAGTTGCCAATTCCAGTTTTGGCATAGTTTGCATTTTTTCATTTCATATGAATATTACACAGTTCCTCTAGAGGCTGAAGTACCTGATATTAAACTCTAATTTGAAGCCAAAATAATCATGTAACAAGAATATACAGCCATAGCGTACTTTAAGCTAAATGCTAATGCTAATATCGCATCATGTTTACAGGGACAGAGCTCAAATGTGCTAATTAGCCATATATATAAACATGTATACAGACATAGCCTCTGTGAGTGGTTTAAGGTAAATGCTAAAGCAAGTGGGCAGAAAATCCAAAGTGACAATGATAACATTTGCTATTTAGCCATGTGTATACAAATGTGTATAGTCATCTGTGTGACAGGCTTTGAGCTAAATGCTAATGCGAGTAAGACAGATTGTCTACAGTGAAAATGCTTACAATTCCTAACTAGTAATGAATACAAAGCACAGCAGAGGCTAATGGAAATAGCATTAGATCCAGGTAGTTGTCATAAACCAAAGCATTGGGCTGTTAGTCTAAAAATGTAGTTAATCTGCCAAAACAAGTATTTCAATTCTTCCTGTGGATGTTTAGAAAGTGTAATGGCAATCCAATCAATATCTTTCGAGAGATTTTCACTCAAAAACACAAATGCCAACCTACAGTAGCTAGCTAAAAGTCAGGTGATCACTTCAGTCAGAGGTCCTCATCTGGGCATTGTGGATGTCTGTACACATTCTCATTGAAACACATCTAATAGTTGATGAGATAACTCAGTCTGGACAAAGTGGTGGACTGACCGAATGCCCAGTGGCTCATCTCATCCAATGGAAAATAAACTTTTAACCTTTTCATTGAGTTCCAGTGATTCTTTGCACCCAACAGCAATAATGTGCTTCAAATTCATGCATGTCTGTGCGGATAATAATCCTTCTTTCCACATCATTTTCTTGTAAATAATGTTCTAGTATATTTTGGTGTAGTGTAAGGAATTCATTTGGCACAGCTTCTTCAAGCTCTTGTGTTCCTCTTCTCTACCGCTGAGACAAATCAGTCACGGAGATTGAGCCCAATTTTCTTTTAGCTGTATGTACTGCATCCTAAAATGCTCCATCCTTCCATCCTATTGGCATCACCAGGATACATAACCCTTCTCTTTACCTCACTCTAAACTGGGTCATATTTTCAGTGTGACTAGTCTCCTCCAGCTCTTAGAAAGCTAAGCGAGCAAACATAACCCGAGGAGAGTCACTAAAAAACACATCGTGATTTTTTCAGCAGTCTTAAAACTATGTCTTGTAAAAAGTATTTCATTTCAAACAATCTAAAATACAATTTGAACTTTACGACCATGGACATGATGAAAGGTACAAGGACTCCAGCGTCACGAGCTGTCTGTGGGATCACTCTTTTCCTTTCTCATCTGGAAGGCTTAACTTTTGTCATCCATAATATATGAGCATACAATTGCTCAAGTGACAAAACTCTAGAGCAGATTTCAAAGCAAAATACCCAATGTCACGTACAAGGTCCCGCTATAGAATTAGATATATGATCCTTGGCACAGCATGCAAGGTTACAGGCTGCAGGGAGAGAGCCAGGGGGGGACGGAGAGCGGCACTTACTTGACTGATGGAAGTGACAGTATCCTTTCCAACTAATCAGAACATTTTGCACACCGTGTACTCAAGGATCGCTGATCAAAGCAAGGGTGTTTTACTTTGAAAGAGCTTGAGATTTAATGTGGAAGACATTTTAAACACGGCTATAGTTGTGGTAACTGTTCTTAACAATCACAAAATGGATACAAACAACATGCATCCATTGTCATAAACTGATTTTTCACATTTAGGGAACTTTATGTCTTATAACCCGTCGACAAGGAGGTTTTCTATTCAGCCTGTCTGTCTGTCACCAGGATTATGGTTACAAAAAGTGCCTAATTTAACCAACCTCAGAAGAACTCATAAGATTTTGGGGGGGATCAAAATCATGTTGCTGATACACCATGTTAACTTTCAGTAACATTACAAGACAGGGAATGTGTGCAACATGTGTCCTATGGTGTCGGAATAATCAAAAAATGTGATTCCGACCCGCACAATTCATGTGAAAGCCCACTTTCAAACAGTTAACAATATTGTTTTATGTCTCCAAGCAATACAACACAACACATCTTCTTAAACGTCAATTGTTTCCAAATTAAAACTTAAAGCTCATGAACACAATACGCTTTAGAGAAAGACTTCCTGACTCTGGAAAAAGCACCATCAGAGGAGGTCTGGGCTCCCTAAGTGCCATTCTAGTTGAATTATTCTACACTGCACTTTGACTTGTATTTTATACCTGTCTTATTCTATTATAGCTTGTTTAATGTTTCCATTATTCTCCTGGCTTTTTAAAGACCGTTTTGAATCTACTTAAATATCAGTTTATAAGCGTTTCTGCTGCACTTTATCTTAATGCTTTTAATGTGTTTTCCTATGTTGCAAAGCACTTGGAATTGCCTTGCCTTTTATATTTCTTTTATGTCCTCTGTAAAGCACAAGTACTTCTTATACACTGTAAACGTTTTTCTTCCAATTATGTGTATTTATGGGTGGGTTGTTCGAGTTAAAACAGGAGTCTAACTGTGCATATGCAGCAGGATATGTATTAGACCTGATGTGTGCTGACCTGTCTGGGTGTGTGTGGCTCCTGGTAGCTGGGCAGGATCTTCAGCACCACGCTGCCGCTCGCCTCCTTCAGCATCTCCTGCAGCACTTTGGGGTCGTTGCC